CTCCTTGCCCAGGTGCCAGCCTACCTATCCCCCTTTGCCTGGTCCCTGCCAAAAGGTGTGGGAGCAAAAAGGCCCAAATGTGGATCGGTAATGGAGGCTGAGGCAAACCAGGGAACTGGGCAGCTTTGGCTGAGCTGTGCAACCCTGTGAAAGTCACCTAATGTCCCTGGGTTGTCTGTGGAGCTCTGGAGGGTTGGTGGGAGGGTGGTGGGCAGGGAGGGGTAATTCATGGGCACACTGGAGTGAGAGAGGGCAGCTTTGCCTGGGGACTGGCACTGTCAGCAAGCGCAGCAGGGCTGCCAGCTGCCTGGCCCTCCCCCCTCCCCCTGGGCCATGTCCATTCAGGTTCTCCCCAGGACCCTGGGGCTGTCAGGCACATGGACCAGAACCCTGGGGGGCCGTGGGGGAGCAGGATGCCCCCCAACACCTATCTCCCCATCTTTAGGAGGACATGGCTGTGGAGCAGGACTTTGCTGCCTCAGAGCTGTGGAGTGTGGTGTGGCATTGTGTTGCGGCAGTGATTCATGTGGGCAGTGACAGGGCAGCGCTGGAGGGAGATTCCCCAGGGGCAGGTCACCCCGTGGCAGAGCCGGACTGGAACCTCCTCTCCCCTCAAGGTAGGAGCTGCAAGACGGCAGGGCATCTGCTCTGGACCCTGCTCTGCATCCTGCCCTCAGACTTGCCCACACCTGTCCCCATTGGCATCGGGTAGCTCAGAGGGCTTTTCTTGAGGATTGCTGTTGTCCTCTGGGGAGAGAGGGCTGGGCTGGCCCATGCTGTGTCCAGGTGGTGGGAGTTCAGCTGAGCTGGCTGTGGAGGAACAAGAAAGGGTGTCTGCTGCAGGGGAACACTCACTCTGGCAGATGTGACCACCATGGGTGGAGATTGGCCTAGTCCTGGGCAGGGAAGCACAGAAGCAACCCTGGAGCAGCCTTGAGGCAGTACAGGCAGACAGAGGAGAGGAGACTTTTCAGCCTTCCCTAGCTTTGGCCCTCTGCTGCGCTGTTCCCCCTGCAGGCACCCTGCTCTTCCTCAGCCTGGCCCTCTTCATCTTCACTCGCGAGTCCCACCGCTGCCTGCCTCAGCTCACCCAGTCCCACGGCATCCTCGTGGTGATGCTGAAGAGGCTGCTGTCCCCTGGCTTCCTGGCATGCCTGGCACAGACGTGAGTTGTGGCGAGGGCTGAAGCAGGCAGAGCTCAGCCGCTGGATGGGGCGTGGACACGAGCACACAGAGGGCTGAGGAGTTACTGACCTGGCACTTGCAGGGTGTCGCGGATGGAGTGAGAGGGAGGCAAAAATAATGTGGTTTATTGGTGTAAAACAGTGAGTTAACAAAGGTCAGTGATAAATGCGACAATAGTTTATAAGATTCAATGGCAAGGTACACTTTGTTATTTACTGCACAGAGGACAGGGTCAGACAAGACTGTCAGGCAGACCCTCCCATTGAGTCATGAGGTTCTATGCGCAATTAATCCCTTATGTCACTTAGCTAAGATTTCCAAGTTAGCATGCTGTTAGTCACTTACCAAGAATCTGTCGTGGTAAGGAATCTCTCAACTTCAAGGAGTAACCTTGAGAGGCGTCCCTGCTCAAGGGGAGATCCTGGCATGCAGCCCGCTGCCGTGCAGGAGAGCTCAAAGGGCTCTTGGACTGCTCACTATTGATGGGGGTAAGATAATTGGCTCATAGTCATATTTGCATACTGACCACTGTGCTTAGGTGGGCACATTCCACAATAGCCCTTGGCTATTGTATTGTTATCTGTCTCCCCCCACATCCAGTGGGTGCATCCTTCAGGACCAGACACAGACCAGACACATCTATCACCACTGCCACAGGTGGTTATCACTTGAAAGAGGTCAAAGGAGGGGGAGTCAGAAACGAGGGGGGAGCACACCGCCACACAGGGCACAGCTCACCTGCAGAGCCCCTCCTCAGTGCCTGGTGTGGGGAATGCTCTCTGCCTCATGTCTTTCTGATCACCTTTGTATTAAGCTCTCTCTCTCTCTAACAAATTCAGGCAAGCAGGAGAGGATGGGGACCCTGAGCTTGTCCCAGCTGTGGTGATCCAGGCCTGCCAACTCCTCTGTTTCCCTTTTGCCCTGGATGTGGATGGAGACACCTTAGCATTGGTCACGGAGGCTGTGAGAGATGCCCAGATCCCTGCCCAGCTGCTGCAGGTACCCTCTTGGATCCGTGTTTCTCTTCCACCCCATACTGTGGAGAAACCTCCCTGTGTTGCAGCCCCTGATGCCTGGCACCGCTGCACACCATGCTGGTGATTTCTGCCCACGCAGGGATGTCACTTGGGTGCTGTGCAGCCCTCAAAGCGGCTTGGCCAGGGCAGCTGAGCTCTGCACCGACCCGCTGGCAGCCTTCAGCCGCTGCCTGACTCTGTCCACATGCAAGGACAGGGCACTCAGCGCCACTATCTCTCCTTTCTCCTCAGGTCTGCTCTCGCCATCTGCCCTTCTCATACACCAAGCTCCCCATGAGTCTCTTGTGCCACCTCGTTGTGTCTGACGAGCAGGTCATTGACCAAATGGTGAGGGCAGCCGCTGCCTCAGAGCACATCATTCCCTTCTTGACGTCTGCCTTGTTTACAGACAGCCTCACGCTCACAACTGACCTCCTGTCCCTCTTGACCCACGTGGCCCGTGCCTGTCCGGAGCACCTGCCCTTTCTCCAGAGGATCCTGAGGGGCTCAGATGCGGCCGATCAGCCACTGACCCGCCTGCTTGGCCACCGGCAACACCCCATACGGGCCAAAACCTGCAACCTGCTGGGAAACTTGCTCCGACATGGCCATGGCTTTCCCCAAGCGCTGCAGAGCCAGCCTGGCGTGCTGGAGAGCCTGCTGGGGTGCCTGGCAGACCAGGAGGCGAGCGTGCGCAGGGCA